TCTTGTTTAGAAAACTATGTGATCAAGGACATAGGTGTAAAATATGTAACCATATTAGAATGGAGTTTCATTTTTAAACTGGGAAGTTGTTACAATTAAATATTCTCATTACCGCATGATGCTTATACATGTATTCCAAAACTCCTTTTCTTTTTTCATCATATTTTATGTTCTCATAAATATCATTACACTCACATTTTTTATGTCCTCAGCAAGATCGTTTAGTAATTTGTTGTTCAAATAAATATAATTTTTCTTCCAGAGTATGACAGTAAGAAGATTGCTATGCAATGTTAAAATTGTATTGGTAAGTGTTTTATATTTAGGCCAAAAAAAAAATTGATTAATAGTTTCTCAGGTCAAAAATTTCAAAGTTCAATGCGGCAGGCAGGATATTTATTTATTTTTTTTTTTTGAAGCATGTGTTATACCATTTTTTTTTCATGTCAGTCATACCGTTCACGGTAGCTCAGTCGGTAGAGCGCTCGCTCCGTGATCGGGAGGTCGTGAGTTTGAATCTCGGCCGTGACAGACCCAAGTCGGTAAAATGGGTAGCAACTGTTCCTTCGCCATGCGCTCGGCACTTTGAAGTGAAAGTTGCGGGTCTTTCGGATGAGACCCTAAAAACCGAGTCCCCGTGTCACGGCAGGCATTGGCACGATAAAGATCCCTCACTGCTCAATGGCTCTGAGTGCCAAGTAAAGGTCAAAATTTGAAGCCCTTCACCGGTATATGGTGACGTCTCTATATGAGTGAAAAATTCTCGAATGGGACGTAAAACAACATACAATCAATCAATCATGTCAGTCATTCAACAAATGATGATATCAACTGATTCATACTTTTTTTTTGTTCTATTACATTAATTATAATATGTGTTCAACTTTAAATAATGTTATTCCAAACATTTATTTAAAAATAATTCATAAAATACCGTATTAACAAGGAACATATTGTTTATCTAATAAAAACGTCTATCTATAAGCATTTATGAAAAGGGGAATAACTTGATTTTCTTTTTCAACTTGGAAAAATAGAAAATTGAGTTTATATTTTCAAGATGTCAATAAAATTGATCAATGTGGCAGTTTATGACCTGATGCTGTGGTGCCTGAGAAACTATTAATTTTTTTTTGGCCTTACTAGCCTTGTACTGTATGACACTTAATTTTGTACTGTATGGCATTTAATTGACTTTCAAGGCCTCTTGTTCAAGTAAAGCGACATTGCTTTCAAAGAATATTATTGAGATGAGGAGTAAATATGATGGGTCAATTTTAAAAATCCTACTCTGTTGTGACTATGAAATCTCCAAGCCAAAGATTAAAAAATGCCTGAAAGCTTCCATAGGTAAGGCAAATATGATAGAGATTGTTCGAATCATTTTCTAAGGGACAGAAATGTGACCACAACAATCACAGGAATTTTCAAAGAAATTTTAGGTGGAAAAGAAAGAGCTTGCATAAACATAAACTAAAAATTGTATTTCAGGTAAAAGTTATTCTACTTGTACACTATGCTGATTGTATGAATGAATGCCCAGTTGATGATGGTTATGTCAGAAGGGGACCCAATTGCTGCAAGACCATCAAATGTAATATAAGTGAGTAATTTTCAAGAAAGCTGACCACATACTCACCAGAGTATCTCAACATTGGATATGTTGACAAACTGGGATATGTGGACATTCGTCTCACAGTCCTGAATGTATTTATTATGCACCATATATCAGGTAATTTTGACACGCTGTAAAAGTAGGTGTATTTGACAGATCAAAATAATTTGACATATATATATATAATAAAGTGCCAACAATTCCTTAAAGCTATATTCGCTGCATTTTTGAGAATATTATTTTGCTATTAAAATGTGTTATCATGATACATTTGTAAGTAATTTAAACCTTTTTGAGCTATAAGACAGAAATAAAGTATCAAATTGTTTCATTATAAAGGATTCTATACAGTCAAATATATACTGTGAATCTAGGTAGTCTGCAGGTGCAGAATGTGACTACATGGTAAGTGAGAGCCTTGCTGAGTCCATAAGCATGTCAATGATGATGTATGAGGGGTGATCAAAAAGTTCGCGAAGCTACTCTATATTTACAAAACCACAATTCAGATCAAAATGAAATTTGGCACACTTATAGTCATAAACATGTTCTATAAATAGCAGATGTTACGTAATGTTTGCTCCATGCTTGTGATGTCACAATGTGAAAATGACGTCAATATGTAGATGACTTGTCACAAAAAATGTTTAACTCAATCGTACTCAAGCAACAAAGGGCTTTAAAGTTTAACGTATATCTTGGAAATTCCTTTGCAGTAGCATATAATAATTTGAACAAGGTTTATGAAGACTCAAGACTTCCCAGAAGTTCAATCATTAATTGGAATGATTGTTTTCGTGAAAGAAGGGAGATGGTTAAAAATGATGTTTGTTCTGATGCCCAGTGAAAGTGATGTGTCCTTAGTTGAGCAATTTGTAATGAAAGATTGCCAAGTTACAGTTAGAAAAATAGTTGAATATCTTAATAATATAATTATTAAATACCTAAAATATGGTTTACTTTAGACTTTAAACATATCAGATATGTTAAAGAAAGGAGTTGCCCATACTTTATCAATAATGGATAAAAGACACACCCAAGGCAGAGGAGTCGGGTTCTGATGGTCACCATGCTCATTCTTGGAAAAGATATCCTTATCCACCCATCCTATGCCGAGATTTGGCCATTTGTGACAAATGGACTTGTTATAAAAAATAACTTGCATGGTAGGAAATATAAGACTCTGAAAAATCTTTTAACTTCTGTGAACAGAGCGCTATGGAGCATGTCAAGTGAACGTCTGGATCACCTGATTCGAGCGTTGGCAGAATGATGGCAGATGAGCATTAAAATTGGAGAGGACTACTTTTAAAAATAATAAACACTGAAACCTAATTTTATTTATTTTATGGAAGTACTTCACTTAGTTCACGAACTTTTTGATCACCCCTCGTATTTCGTCCGTCGGTGTGCGTTGTGCAATGTGCATTAACATTTGAACATTTTCAGCTTCTTCTCTGAAATCGCGCAACCAATTTCAGGCAATTTTGGCATGTAGCATTTATGGGTGAAGGGGAACAAAAATTGTGAATTTCATGGTCCCTTCCCCCCTGGGGCCTGAGGGATGGGGACAAAACCACTAAAATTAATGCAATCTTTAAAAATCTTCTTTACTCTGGGACATCAAGCAGTCAAACTGTTGGCATGATTGTAATTAGCATTGAGCTCTCTACCAAAATTGTGAAATTTATGGCCCCAAGGTCAGGGGTTCTGGTGCTAGGGTGGGGCTCTGTTGAAAATATAGTGAAAATGTGTTATTTCTTTAAAAATCTTCAATAAGAATTTAGCAATTACATGTATAACGAAATTTTAAGTAGGCAGTAGTTATGTAAAATCAAAATATTCATTAGGGGATTTAATTTCGTTATTTCGTTGTTGACATTTAGCAATGAAAATAAATCCCACAAGAAATTTTTATATGTCTATATATTGAATAGGGTTTGAAGCAATGAAATTTAATGCCGCAAAACCTTTATAGATGACAAATCAATGAAATTTTATCCCCACGAAGTAAGTAGAGTAAATTTTATTTTTGTAAAGCTAAAATAAAATAATTTGTTGCATAATTAAACTTATATTTAAAAACCTGTCAAGTACTAATAAGCTGATTAAAGATCACACAATTTGATATCAAAGAAATATTTTTTCCTGGATAAAGAAAATTTTCCATCGATGATAATATTATTATTTGTTTTTTAAATTCATGAAAGTTTGGTTGGCAATCTTGAAAAAACAACTTAGAAAACTAGCATAATCTGTAATACATGTAGTCTTAATTAAAGGAACACCTGTACTGATATGGGGTCATGTCCTTACCCTATCCATCAAAGTTTTGTGGGTAAAAAAAAAAATTGTGCATGATTGTGTAAAGTCTTGCTCCCCTCACACAGATCAATGGCATAGTCAATTTCATAGAAAAATCTGGTTTTCTGTTTTGCATGTAGGTCTGATGGATTTTGGAAACTTTGATCACATGATAAGTTAATTTAGAGGGGTCCTTATTCTTTGAAAATCAGAAAATACTCTTGGGGACACTTCTAGGGGGTAGGGGCACTTAAACATTATTATTGTGCTTCCTGTCAGTTTGTCTTACAATCAATACCCAACTATTTTTGCATAGTGTTCTAAGGATTTATATAGTGTAAGTATACTATGCCGAAATAGTGCACAGCTTCTTTTTCTCAAGAAAATCTGATAGCACCCACACCGGGGATCAAACTTATGACCCTGAGATTGTCAGTTCAACGCACTACCGATTACGCCACAGATGCCATTATCTAATACTTTCTATTTTAATGTATGTAAATGTAGTTTCATATATTTGACACTTGAGAAAAAATCAAAAAATTTTTTTTTTTCTAAAATAGTTTCATGCAACTTTTCCCCTCTTTTAACTCAACTAAAGTTCTTTGAAACTATCTGTACATTATACCTAACTGCATGAAACAAAAGAAAAAAACTGACATACATGTAGCACAACATGACTTCATAATAAGGGTATACTAACATGTTTAAGAACCAAACAAGAATTAGTGTAAGGGTAGATGAAAGAGTGGGAATGGAAAAAAAATATTCAAACAAATTTTGTAATTATTATGATGACAGTTTACACATCAATACACAAACTGAGTCCAGGGAATATTGAAAATGCTTGATCGTATGAAGCTAAGTAAAAGAACGTAAATAAAATTTATTAATAAGATTAGACCTCTGTACAAGGGAGTTTATTTAATTTGTCGTTTTCATAAAACAGTCAGCATAATAATGTTAACAATAGTTAACATTATTATGCCTCCAGCTCATGCACCATGTATCAAACCCTGACTACTATTTAGGCATAGTACATGCAAAGTACAACACTATTATATAAATATTGTCTCAAGCCATGGTCCAGAGTCTGCTCATAGCTCTCTTTTTCTCCAGAATGGGAGAGGATTGCACCAGAATGGGAAAGGATTGTACATTTAGGCTGTGGTTTGTGATGATGATAGTACATGTATTATCAAAACATGTACCAGTTTACGTATATCGGTATGTACTTGTCTTGTAGATGAAAATTATATTCTGTGTAATGATGGCATTGAACGAGGACAGGACCAGTGTGTTCCATGTCCAAATGGCACTGTAAATCAAGATGCAATTGACACAAAAGAAGTTGATTATCATCTTGAAGTCTGCAGAAAACCTGACTGTGTCTGTGGCCCTGAAGGTAAGTTTTCTCATTTGGAAATCTCATAAGCTACCTCAATTGAGCCATTGATTTACGTTGAGCCATTGATTCATGTAAGTACCTGTTAAGGTTTTGTCATTTTGATAATGTATCAGGTGGCTACAAACACCTAAATTTTTAGCTCTTCTTGTCAGAAAACAGAAGAGCTTATGCGATAGTAAGGTGTCCGTCGTCAGTCCATCTGTCTGTTAATCCATCCGTATGTCTGTAAACAAATTTCAAATTATGCTACTCCTCCTACAGTTTTGGTTTGATTTAAATATTACTTGGCACACATTTAAACTACTCAAAGATACATATTTCTTTTAATCGGTTTTTCATTTCAATGAACTGTGTTGCCATGGTTACAAAAAAAGAAACTTCTGTGAAATACTTCAAAACACTACTCTTCCTACAGTTTTGGTCTGTTTTCAATATAACTTGGCACAAAAGTAGATTATACTGAGATACTTAATTCTGTGTATCAGTTTTTGATTTTGGTGAAGTGTTGCCATGGTTACTTAAATTAAAAATTGCTGTGAAATACATTCAAAAGGCTACTCTTCTTAAAGTTTTAGTCTGATTTTAATATAACTTGGCATGCAAGTAGACTATACCGAGATACATGATTGTCTTTATCGGTTTTTGATTTTGATGAATGATGTTGCCATGGTTACTAAAATCAAAATTTATGTAAAATTCTTTTAAAAGGCTACTCCTCAGACAGTTTTAGTCTGATTGCAATAAATCTTTCCACAAAAAAGGGACTAAACCAATGATCTTTATTGCTGTTGCAAAGTTTCAAGTCCAAGTGCTACTTTTATCTTCCTTTGTTATAAGTACAAACCAGTAGAGGTACAGTCTAGTCAGAGGCTTCTGGTTATCAGTAAGTAGCAAATAAAGCCCTGGAACAAAAATGCTACCCCCTCTTTAGGAAGAGGAGAACAATGTGAAAAACTAGACCAGGATTCAAACCAGGGCTCAATTGCCCAGTTGGATGGCTCAATTGGTAGAGTACCTAAGTAGTGGTCCCAGGGGCCCTGGTTCAATTCCTCATCTGGTCTGTTACATTTTTAACTCACCTGAGCCAAAGGCTTAAGTGAGCTTTTCTGCTCAAAGGACAAGATAGGCTAAGACCCCTTTTTGGCCCCTGGTTTGGGGTGTCTTTTAGAATGATACAACAGTTTATCAATTAAAAACCTGTTGTCATCCCTGCCACAAAATGAGTATTGTTTCTAAGTTATGGGATACACAGAGGTCACAGGAAGGTTAGAAAATATGTAAATTTCCAAATTTTCTCACTTTTATGCAAATTTTCATCGATTTTACAGCACATTTTGGTTCAGAAAACATAGAGCACAAGCTTGCCTATCTACCAAATTGATATATTTCATACACTAGTATGCTTCTTATGTATAAAAATCTCAGATAGGCAAGCTTGTGCTCTATGTTTCCCAAAGTGAAATGTCTCAAAAATATCTCAAATTTGATGAAATTCGGCCAAAATTGAGGAAATTCGGGAAAATGTCTCACTTCTGCACCCTCTTGTGGCGTCCGTGTAAGCTTTGAATTAAAATTAGTGCTGGTTTTAAAACAAGCATCATTTTAAGTTCTTAACTACAAACTATCACAATTTTAACTGTATTCTGATTTTTATATCAATTAAGGGGCCAGATCCGGTCGTTAGCATACCTTGTCCTTTGTCCATTTTCTGTCATCGCTGTTGTTAACTTTTTTCAATGTCATCTTCTTCTCCAGGCCCCAGGATCATGAAACAGACTTAGACTTAAGTCAAATTTTCAATCAGTTGTAAAATGTTTATTAATTATTGACTTAATCTCTAAATTTGCAGATAGCAACACTTTTGTGAAGCAATATTGAAAAATATTTTAATTTTGGTCTGCTTGACATTTACAACATTTTAATACAACTGAAAGATTTTGACTTAAGCTTAAGATGTTTCATGATCCCAGGGCCAGAACCACTGGGCCAATTTCAACCAAAAGTTGCGGCAAAGTATTCTTGGCTAGAAGGGGATTCAAGTTTGTTCAAATGAAGGGTCATGCCTTCTTCCAAGGGGAGATAATTACAAATAAGTGAAAAATTAATGGCATCTTTTAAAAATCTTCTTAAAAAACCAGTGGGTCAGAAAATCTTAAACTTTTGTGGAAGCATCCTCGGGTAGTGTAAATTCAAGTTTGTTCAAACCATGACCCCAGAGGGTAGGGCGGGACTGCAATAGGCAATCAAAGTTTTACAAAGGAATACAAAGGAAAAATCTTTTAAAATCTTCTTCCGAAGAATAACAAAGCCATGATTGGTCACATTTATGTGGAAGCATTCTCAGGTAGTGTAGATTCATAAAACTTAGACAAGCTCACTTTTGATCTCTGTCTCACTTTTCTGAAAATTTATAGTGAAACAGTAAGACTGTGATCAAAAGTGAGTTTGTGTTAGTTTAATGGTGCTGGAGCCTTGTCTTTATGTACTGTTTTAATATACATGTTTCTGGTATCGCATGAAGGTGTTTAAATGGCATGAAAGTTGTTAAAAAATAATTGATACAACACAGCATCAGTGAAAGCATCATTGGTCATTACTTGTAAAATGTTCATTGGACTAAACACCATGCACCTTGACATCAATCCTTTTGATTCCACATGAGACTTTTTAACCACGTTTATACATGTAACCTATATACCCTGTAAAAATGTTTTTTTTTTTTTACATTTTCCAACAGTGAATGAAAAGCTCCCCTCTTTCTGGGAGCTGATGAAGTAATAATAATTTTTTTTTTTTTAACATTAGTTCTTTAATGAGATTAAAATGCCTGGGGTCAAGTAACAAGTATTATTTCAGTAGGTTCAAAAAGTATTTTCATAAATATTGTGAAATACAGGCATCTTATTTTCAGTATACATGTATAATCGGGGTAGGTCATACAGCAATCTACTGATATACTGGTAATATCATACACCTCTACATGGTGGTGCTGTCTATTTTTAAAAGCTGTAACTCTGAGGATGTAAAAATCATAGAGTTCAACTCATTAGTTATCTGGCAAAAAATTTCTAGATTTGATTATAAAGCCAGGTGTAAATTTTCACACACACACATGAAGTTGGGGGGTAAATTACATGATCTCACAATTCATTTGTCTCTTTAGCAAAAATCTAAATAACATGATGCCACGATGCATCATAGCACATAGTAAATCTTATCAATAGTTTGAGACACCAATTTTGGAAATGCCAATGGTTATAAAATTTATTTGGATACATAGGCAGTCTCTTCCAAAATCCACAAGCCTGGGGTTCAAGGCCAGTAAAATCGACTGGGGGTAGAAAAAAAATCTGATAAGTCCTACAGGCAGCTCTTCTGAGCCAAAGGCTCAAGGAGCTAGTGCTATGGCCATTTGTGTGGTGTGCCTAAACTTTTTAGAATATGGGCCATATCTCAAGAATCCCTTGACCAGTTTTTGTCAAATTTGTCACAGAGTGTCCTTGACCAAAGGGCTCTTGTTTACACTAAAACTAGGGATGTGACCCTTAAACAAGGGGATATAATTAGGAAAATATAAACAATGTTTTTTGAGTCCTTAGAATGTGTCATCTTAAAAGTAGGTCACAGTGACCTACTCTAAGATTTCAAGACAATATCTAAATATTTCAAATAATAAGAGGCTTAAAATCATCAAACTTTGTCAGTTGAGGCATTTTGGGTCTTGGGAGTGTACTAACCAAAAAGTAGGTCACCATGTCCTACTTTTGGAATCTCATTACTATATCTGAATATTTAAGATAAAAAGAGGCTTCAAATCATTGAACTTTGTCAGTTGATGCATCAGAGTGTTTTAACCAAAATTTAGGTCATGATGACCTACTTTTGGAATTGTCTAAATAAACAGGATAGATAGAGGCTTCAAATAGAAGTGACAGGTTATACAATTTATCAGAAGAGTGATTCAAGGCCCTTGAGCCTCTTGTTTTTAGCTCACTTGAGCTGATGGCTCAAGTGAGCTTTCCTGATCTAAATTTGTCCGTTGTCTATCGTCATCATTGTCATCCTTGTCGTTGTTCCATACACCCTGCAGCATTTGGCCTCAGACTAAGTCAGAGTACTTAGAATACGACTCAGGGTAAATCTTGATTACTCTTGATTACACTTGATTAAACCAGGATAACTAATAATGCAACACCACCAAACTTGCTTGAGATTTTACAACTGGTCTACATATGTATTTGGATGAGTGATCAGATTAAAATGTTTGGATCAGGTCCATTTACATTTAACTAGATGTCCTATCTTGACCAAACTTGGTATACTAATCTTAATGGGTAAAATATACCCGGTGTTCATACTAATCTTCTTGGGTAAAATATATTCTTGCTTACCTTCTTTGGTAAAATATATTCATACTACTAACCTTCTTCAGTAAAAAAAAATTCAAGGTTTTAAATGTTGAACTTGTGTGTAAACAATGGATCTTACCAATCATTGATTTGAAATGAGATTTTACCTCAATTTAAGTTAATTGTCAAGGTGATCTTTAACTTGATTACCATTGTTTTCCAGAAGCTAAACTTGTAAATCCTGCAGAATGTTGGGTCACTGGAAGAAAGATGTGTGAGTGTGACAGAGACAGAGGCTTCTGTGGCCATGATTATATGATTTGCAAGAGGTCATCCAAATTGGAGGATTCTTTAGAAGAAGGAATTGAACTGACTCAAGATTGTAAGTTGTTTTGCTTCCTCTTACACTGGTGACAATAAACATAAAACAAGCTTAATACTGAGTATTGATGTACATACTTTCAAAATATATTAATGTTATTGTATAAACATTAAATCTAAATATGCTCCTCTGAACATAAGAATTAAATTTGAATAGTTTGTGCTCAAAGTGTGTCAGCTGTGCTGTAGTTTATTGTAGAATGTCATATTTCTTATGCATTGAAATCAACTTATCATAAGATATGTGAGATTTATCTTAAAAGTTTTGAAAGTTCATAAGAGAATAATGTGAAATTTTTTACACAATTGTATTTTTAGGTCACTTAAGTCACTCAGGTGTCCTGTTGCTATCTGTTTTCGTCAGTCCTCAGGCATTTTGAACATTGGAATTTCTGAACCAGTTTCAACGAAACTAATTTTGGCATAAAGCATCTATGGGTGAAAAGAAACAAAAGTAGTAAATTTCATGGTACCTGCCACCCAAGAGGCCTGAGGGATGTAGCTAAAAGCATAGAAATTTAATGCAGTCTTTAAAAATCTTCTTCATTCCTAGACATCAAGCAGTCAAACTGGCATTAATGTAATTAAGAAATAAGATATCATTTTTAGATGATATTTTATTTTTTATATTTATATTTTATACTTTTATTTGTGTTGCAAAGAAAAATACGCTCTATTTAGACTTTGTTATGAAAATGCAACATAACGTACATGTACCTACGACGTCATGTAACGTCACAGTTGGAACTTTCTAAATGGCTCGCACAGTTTGCTTTCTATACGCAAGAAAGTCTGATCACATGACCAACTGCATGTCATTGAAATTTGAATGTCAATTTAAATTGTTCTGTCATATAAGGAAAGACATTTGCTAATGTAAATATTAAGCATTGAGTCCTCTACTAAAATTGTAAAATTCATGGTCCCTGGGTTAGGAGTTCTTAAGCTGGGTGGGATCACAAATACTTTAGAAAGCTTCTTCTATCCCCCTGTATATTCAGCAGACAAATTAAGTGCATGGTTATTATGAGCAAGGGTGCCTCTTTGAAAATTGTGAAATTTATGGGTTCTGGGTCAGGGGTTCTTGTGTTAGGGAGGGGGCTCTACTAATTATACAGTGAAAATGCATTATTTCTTTAAAAATCTTCTTCTCTGGTTCGTGATAAGGAGGCCCCAGTTCAATTCTCATTCACCATGCAGTGTCAAACCTAAGACGTAAATATAGGTAGTGACTGTTCCTTTGCCAAGTGCTCAGCACTAGAAGTGAAAGTCACGGGTCTTTCAGATGAGACCTTAAAAACCGAGGTTCCTTGTCACGGTAGGTGTTGGATGGATAAAGAACCCTCACTGCTCAATGCCTGAGTGCCAAGTATAGGTTTAAATTTGAAGCCTTTTACTGGTATATGGTGATGTCTCTATATGAGTGAAAAATTTTCAAAAGGGATGTAAAACAATATACAATCAATCAATCAATGAAAATTTTTCAAAAGGGATATTTAACAATATACAATCATTCAATCAATCTTCTCTGGTCCTGGCTATTAAAAAAAATAAATGCATATTATGATAAGCAAAAGTACCTCTTCCATAACTATGAATTTCATGGCCCCTGGGTCGGTTCTCAAGTGTTAGAGTGGGATTCCATTAATTACATAGTGAAAATGCATCATTTCTTTGAAAATCTTCTGTAGTAACTATGCTCTTGGGTATTAAGCAAAGTAAGTGCATATTTATAATGAGTAAGGGTGCCTCTTCTTAAATTCTTTCAAAATCTTCTCTGCTCCTTGGAATTTAGCAGATAAACAAAGTGCTTGGTTTAGGATGAGTAATTATATACCCCTATTCAGAAAGTATAGTATAGACTATAGGATTTAAGTTATTATTTTACCTGGACAAATTCCCATTTCGCACACATTTTTCCTACTAGCAATTTTCAAATGTGTGCGAAACGGGAACAAACCTATTGATCAGATAGTGGAAATGCATAAATTCTTCAAATTCTTCTTTTCTGCCCTTGGGTATATAGCAGACTAATTGCTTGGTTATGATGAGCAAAGGTGCCTCTTCCAAAATTATGAAATTCATGGCCCCTGGATAATAAAAATTCATTAATTCTTTGGAAATCTTCAATGCTCAGGGTTGTATTATACTCAGGTGACTGTAAAGGCCCTTGGGTCTCTTGTTAACTCTACTGGTCACAGACCAGAAGAGCTTATGCAATATTAAGGTGTCTGTCATCTATAATTCTGTCTGTCCCTAAACAATTTAATAGGTCACCTGAGTCACTCAGGTGACCTATCACTATCTGTTTTCATACATTGTCTTTCATTGTTTAATTAACATTTAAAACATGTTTTAGGTTCACTCATGATGTTTTCAAATACTTTATTATCGGAGATGTGTACAGGTCGAGTACCACACTAGAATAACACTCAAGTGTAACAAATGCATTTGGGTTTTTATAGCCGGTAAAATTTGGCTAGGAATCTGATAGAAATATTGCGGTATCTGAAAGAAATATGGTGGAGAAAGGTGAATGGGGATAAATTAAGTTTTTAAGGATGAAAATGTTTGTGTATTTAAGAGTTCATGTCAGCTTTAATACAGAAGCATCTTAAGGAAGTGTATAAATTCAAATTTGTTCAAATCATGACCCCCTGGGGTAGAGTGGGGACACAAAAGGGGATCAAGTTTGATGTAGGAATACATAGTAAATATCTTTAAAAACAGCAAAGCTATTATTAGTCTAGTCATATTATAATTGTATGTTTACATAAATTGACATATTCAAAATTAAGTGCGATCACTGGGTATAGAGTGGTTGGCACAATAATAATTTAGTGTTACACATATCTGCACCATGTATTGCATTTATTTATGATTAATGGTAATCACAAATTAGCACATTGTTGTCTGCGCCAAAGCCGCTAAAATATGAAGCCCGCTTTTTTAAGTACACATACAGTATTTAAGAAGCATCTTCAGGTAATATATTGGATTCAAATTTGTTCAAATCAAGACCCCTTAGGGTAGAGTGGGGCCACAACACAGCATCAAAGTTTTGCCTAGGAGTATAAAACTATGATTAGTCATATTAATACAGAAGCATTCTGAGGTATTGTAAATTCAAATTTGTTCAATTCATGACCCCTGGGGTATGTGGGGCCACATAAGGCAATAAATTTTATACATAGGAATATATAGGAAATTTTTCCAAATCATTTTCTATAGAACAGCAAAGTTATGATTAGTCATATTAACACAGAAGTATCCTCTGACCCTGCTGACAGGTAGTGTAGATTCAAGTTTGTTCAAATCATGACCTGGGGCAGGGCAGGCCACAATAGATAATCAAGCTTTTGCATATGAATATGGAAGCATCCTGGGGTAGAGTAGATTCAAGTTTGTTCAAAACATCCTCCAAGGGGGTTTGGTGAGACCACTTATATATTTTAACTTTTTAATATTGAACTGATTTCTGCTTTTCCCTAGCAGTAGCCAAAGTGCTCAGGTGAGCGATTTGGCCCATGGGCCTCTTGTAAGTTTTGTTAATATTCCTAGCATTTTATACGAAAAAAAAAAAATTCTCTGATCAAAAATATGTAGGACTAAAGTTCCAAGATATTAAATTACAAATAAATGCATGCATATGAATAATTTTCTTCTAATTATCCTTAAAAATAATTGTTTCTTTATGATTTTGTTCACATTTTTTAAATTGAATATTGTGTGATTTAAATTGATTAATTCACATATGATTAAAAATTGAATTGTAATAAATAATCTTGAAGTTAGAGGTTCTGACCAAACTTTTTTTCAAAAGATGGCACATGACATACCTAACTTTTTCTGTCCCGTTCTGTGTCAGGGTTCCAATTTTCTGTGGTGAAACATCGGAATCTCAAGCCTAGCACAAATCAAGTTACATGTGATGCATGTATGGTCCTAAATTGTGGTCATTTTGACAGTCAAGGTTTTGAAACAAAAAGAGTTTACTGAAATTTTTGTCCTAGAATAATTAAGTTTGTAATGCAGAGATACTTGTCAGGGTGAGCCATGACCTTGAGTGAAAGCAAAGATTATGCTGGATAAGCCATTCTTTAAAAGCTTTTGAATTGCAGAGGCTCCTACTAATAATATCACAAATACATGTATTGTTTATTGAGAGAACTATATAGCATCATCATATTAATTGGACAATTACACTAGGTCAAGTTGTGGTAATTATGTAATTGAATAGAGTTGCAGTAATTTGATATGGGGAATTCTCTCCTCCCCTGTTGTGAGTTTGTTGGGAGTTGGGGGGGGGGGGGGTAGTATTTTTGTCTTGATAGGATGCTCCATAAGCTAGTTTAAATCCAAAATTGTATAAGTTAAATTTTCTCTTTACAGGTACTTTTGAGCCATGCAAGCCTGGATTCTTCAAAGAAAAGAAAGGATTGGGAAAATGTGAAAAACATCGAGAGTAAGGAAATTTATTTCTTCTTCATTCCAAGAGCAAAAGGTTTAATAAGTTTCATTTTTCATGTGAGTTTGACTGCCAAAAGGTTTATCTGACATGTCAGGTATACTACATTTTATGAAAGGCATTTTCAACACATGACAATGTTTTCATCATCTAAGGACATTGGCAAGGTTCCTGGTTATCGTTTAGAACTTTCGAAGAACTCTTGAGTAGGTTTAAATGTACTAAACAGGCTATATTCTGGATCGTTTAACGTACCAAGCCAACCTTCTTTCTATCATGTATTTTGACTGAATTGATTGAAATACATTGTCATAAAAATATTGGCATGGATTTATTTTTATTTTTTATGCCTCGTTACTAAATGCTGCTTCCTTCACACATCCTAAGAACTGTTCTCAGTCGGTTTACCTTTCAGCATATGTCACATCTTTGCCATTCCCAGTATACTGAGCATAACTATGGTAAATGACGACCTGTTGGCTCTTTGTCCTTGAATACAATGTACAACAAAGCCATGACTACTTTTCTCTCTGGTTGTAAGACAAGATGATTTTACGCATTAAATGAAGTACATGTGCTTTTATTTACCTCTGTAACATACGCTTTATTGATTTTCACAACTTAGAGAATTCTACATGGGAGATCTCTCAATCATTATTTTATAAGTGAAAAACCCATGTATTAAACATTTTTTCTCTAGAAAACCCTGACTTGCCAATGTCCTTAAGGAGGAATGCCACACCAAAATTTTAATTAATCACAGGAGTTTGCATACCTATCAATTTAACCGAAATTTTCAGTAAATAAAAAAAAAATATGTAATACCTATAATTATTATAGGTATTATGTATTTTTTTTTATTTACTGAAAATTTCGGTTAAATTTATAGGTACGCGAACTCCTGTGAGTTAATAATAGATCTTTAAGATATCCCTTTTTAGCTCACCTGAACCAAAGGCTCAAGTGAGCTTTTCTGATCGAAATTCGTCCATTGTCTGTTGTCGTCGCCGTTGTATTCTTTTCACAATTTCATCTTCTTCTCCAGAACTACTGGGCCAATTTCAACCAAACTTGGCACAGAGTATCCATGGGTAAAGGGGATTCACGTTTGTTCAAATGAAGGGCCACATCCTTTTCCAAGGGAAGATAATTACAAATTAGTGAAAAATTAATTGCATCATTAAAAAAACTTCTTCACAAGAACCATTAGGCCAGGAAAGATGAAACTCATGTGGAATCATCCTCAGGTAGTGTAGATTCAAGTTTGTTCAAATCATGACCCCTGGGGGTAAGGTGGGGCCACAATGGATGATGAAAGTTTAACATAGGAATATATAGCAAAAATCTTTAAAAATCTTCTTAAGAACAGCAAAGCCATGATTGGTCATATTTATTTGGAGGCATCCTCAAGTGGTGTAGATTCAGGTTTGTTCATATCATGACCCCAGGGGGTAGGATGGGGCCACAATGGACGATCAAAGTTTTCCATAGGAATATGTAGAAAAAAATCTTTTTAAGAACAGCAAAGCCAGATTCAGATTTGTTCAAACCATGACCCCCAGGGGTAGGGTGGGACCATAATGAAAGTTCAAACTTGTAGGAAAAAATGTCACAAAGAAATATGTAAACATCTTTTGTTAGTGTAGATTCAATTTTGTTCAAAACATAACCCCCCTTCCCCCGTCCCTTTTTAGGGGTAGGTCGGGACCACTTATGCATCAAAGCTTCTCAATACTGAACTGAATTTTGAGTGATGTGGCCTATGGGCCTCTTGTAAACTATGGTTTCAGCATTGAAAGACCAATATTAGCTCTTGATTGTTTTATATAATTTTGGGGGGGGCATTTTTTTTCAGAGAAAATGAAAAAAAAAGTTTGATTAGCAAATAAGATGTTTCATGGTTTAAAATTTGCTGTCAGGAAATATGACTGTCTAATAAAATATGTAAAGAAAGGCTGGATATTATGCAATTCCATATACGACAGCCAACTGCATGCTTACTGCCAACTGCTTACTGCCAGCTGCTTACTGCCAACTCACTGCTTACTGCTACTGCTGATAGATGATATTGCCTGTTTTGTTATCTTTAATATATTTAACACACATGCTTGAATATACCCTATCATATATTATATTTACTATAATAACAAAAATGGCGGATTCGGTAATTTTTTAATGGTGGAGGGGAGGAAGGAATAAATAGGAGAATGAGTACTTCTCCTTAAACACAAAACATCCAACTCCCACATTTACTTGCGAGCAAATAATTCAATAGCTCTTTTGACCCGGGGAGGGGGGGGGGGGGCTTAAAGGCTTATATAATGTCTGGAAAAAAGAGGGAGGGAGGGCAAACTTTTAGTAGGATCTTAAGTACCATTTGTTGCTTTATGCATTAATACCAGAATTACTAATAAAAAACCCTAATACAAGGATTAATTTTACTCTATACATGTAAAAACAGTTTAAAGCAATTTCCATGCAGGGAGGGGAGGAGTGTTCATACTTCATGTAAGAAGTCATGAAAAATCAGAAGAAATGGGTTGGTGGGTGGGAACTAAATTTATCAAAAAAAAAATTATCTGCATTTGTCCAAGACAGTACTTCTGGTAAAGTCATCTGCATTGAGCGGCTTTTATACTAGACAGAGCTTCTGGTGAAGTCAGCAGCATTGAGCAGCACTTCTCCAACATAGACCTTCTAGTAAAGTCCAATAACATCTGAAAAAATGAAGGGGGCAAACTTTTAGTAGGATCCTAGATACCGTTTGTTGGTGTATGCATTAATACCAGAAATGCTAATGAAAAATCCTAATACAAGGATTAATTTTACTCTTTGTAAAAACAGTTGGAAGCAATTTCCATGTGGGAAGGGCATGAAGGAATAGCTGGAGGGGTGGGGGGAGGGAGCACAAACCAACAGAAATCCCTTGGCAAGGAATAAAAAAGGTCACTAGGCATCATTATTGAGGTAACACTACTGTATTGTATATGTTGTCAATTTATTGGGGACACCCCCACCCCACCACCACCACCACCACCAATGTTTTTACTCTAACATTAGCCATTAAAATGATTTAAATTTGCCACAGAGTATCCTTGGGCCATTAGGGCTCTCATTTACTGTATACTAAAAACAGGGATGTGACCCTGGGGAGATAATTAGGAAAATAAAAACAAAAGTATTGGTTGCTAAAAAAATCTTCTTCTCAAGAACCACAGGGAAGATTCTCACCAAACTTACACAAAAGGATGAAGATATGTTGTAGATTAATAATTGTTCAAGGCATCACCCTAGGGCAAAGGGCATGGTCTCAAGGTCACTTCAAAGTTGACCAAAAATTATGTTTTGTTAAAACATGATATTTTGCTTTCTTAAGGTTAATGTATGAGTAATGCTCCATTCCTTAAAAGTAATGGAGCCAAAGCCCATTGCTTTTAAGGAATGGAGCGCTATGAGTATATTAAATCACGTAAAATCCACCTTTTAAATGCTTGTCATTATTGTTTGTTACAGTCCCTGAAACATTCTACTTTCCCACTTGAGCGGTGAGCGAACGCTGAACGAACGGTGAACGAACGCAGAGCGAACGGTGAGTGAACGATGTGTGAACGCTGAACGCAACTTGGTGAACGATGTGTGAACGGTGAGCGAACGCAGAACGCGAACGGAGCACAAACACGAACGCAAAGTGAACGGTGAACGAATGGTGAACGTAAGATGAACGATATATTCGGAATGCCTCTGATCTTTTCCTTGCATTGAAACTATTTTATTGTTTTATAATGTCAGGTGCAAAAAAAATAAATCAATCAATAATAAATATAAGTAAACCAATAAATGAATGAATAAATAAGTCAATAAAATAAATTCTCCAATATTGTCCTGAGAAATACGATGCATGCACATTAAGTTTTTAATCACACGATTTTTATCGCATTAAAACATTGCAATTGTTGCTGAACACTGAAGTATAAGAGATATTTTTTTTTAGTTGGAAAATAAAAATGTTTACTCTTATTTGATAACAAATCAGAGAAAACTTCTGACTTATAAAATGAATTAAAGTGGTTGTAACATTCATTCCTATATCTCCGTGTTAAAGCGATTTTGTGTAAAGTAATGAAAAAAATAATTAATTACAAAGGTCAGTGGACGTTTTGCATTTATACGCTCGTATTTTGAATTTTTAATACAATAATATATTATGTGTCATTTCTATTTTTCATGATGATTTATTCAGGCCCCGTAGGAAGCAAATTCGGTTTGGGGGGGGGGGGGGGAGGGGGGGGCACAGTCATTCATTTTCAGTTGATAGTTGAGGGGGCACTACCAAAAATTTCCTGACAAGCGAAAAAAAAGGTCATCAGACTTTTTATTGCGGGGGGCACAAGCATATAGTATCTATGTTTACTATAGTAATCTATATATCGGCAAAATTATTGGGGAGGGAGGGGGCACGGCTCCCCCTTGCCCCCCTTCCCCCACCCAGGTTCCTACCGCCATGTTTATTGAGCAGACTTCTACATTTATCTGTAGATGGCCGTGATTATACTCTGACAGGATAATACAAAGATACATATTCATATTATTTGTTATAAATTCAATTTTCAGAACTTGATATTCAAGTAATATGCTGTTATAGTTTTTATTAAACAGACAAATGAGAGAGAGATAGATATTCCGTTTTAGCCCCCCCCCCCCCCCCCCCCCCCATTTCAGGCTTCACTAAATATTTGTACCTATATCAAACAAAAACTCTGAAATTTTTTTCTAAATATATCAGACAGTGAAAGTAACTTTTTTTAATCAACAAATCATATCCATTTGTTTGACAGTCATACTCGTTTTTATTTTCCTGCTTCAAGTTCACACGAAGTCCACGTGCTTGTCCGGTCAATCAAAATCATTCGACACTGTGCAGGTGTGAAAGTTTCGTCACATCGAAGACGAAGTGCGAGTATTACCAACAAGTTATAACATCTATTTTTATCATTTCTAGATTTGATTCCAACATTTGAATAATAATTGAATAAAATACATTGGGCATTAACACTTGAATTTGAAACATACTCTCTGCCAATTCCAAATACCACCGCCGACACGTGTACATTTTGAACTACTATTGTTTTGTGACTTTTTTAGATGCATGAATGTTTTGAGACTGAAATTTTTGTTCTAAAAAAGACCTTAACTTTTTTTTTTAAAAATGTTAATTAAAATATTCCGGAAATACAATACTGACTAAGTAACCGATTTAGGGGGAAAAGGGGGGGGTATTAATCATATCGAATGGCAAACATATAAATTTACGGTGAAGAAAGATTTTTTTTCTCTGTAACTGTAGACTTTACATATTATAGTAGAGAAAATTCTGTAGTGCATTACATTTTAAATAAATATTTTCTTAAACCACACTATCAATTTAATTCGCTCCAAAAATAATAAATTAACACGATATCCGCAGTACTATGTATAACTCTCAGAACTAGTTCTATCATATTTTCTGTAGTAAGTGAAAAAAAAAAATGTTAGAAATAAACATTTTCGTAATTTTGCTGCGTAATTATTTGACTTGGGTAATTATATCTCCATTAACGACTTGTCTTTAACAAAACAACAAAATGTTGCAGTGTTTGAAGTATTTGCACATTGTCCTTAGTTAAATTTAATATTCCAGCATCGTTCTACATAGCTACAGAATGTGCTTATAACAACATTTATTTTCCAGATTAATTTAATAAATAACCTAACAGCTAAGTTAGAATAATAAAAATATATATCGTAGATATTTTTCCCCATGAAATAATGATTCTTCAAACACGGTATGTTAGTTATTAAATTAAAAAACCTGTAACTCCTAACCTACAAAAAGATAAGTCCTTTCACTTCGGAGTTCCGAATGACAATGAAAACTGAACGATAGGTGAACGCTGAATGCAAGGTGAATGCAAAGTGAACGGAACGAAGAGCGAACGCAGAACACTTTGTGAACGCGAGCGCACGGTGAATGCAAAACTGTGAACGGAGAGCAAACGGTGAACGCACGCTGAACGAACGGTGAGCGAACGGAAAATTGGGAAAGTAGAACGTTTCAGGGACTGTAATATATAATAAAGAATATTTATAAGATACACTGTAAATATACATTTAACATATTAATAGTATTTATTTATATAGAGAAAGTAAGGCGAAAGAAGTTATTTAAATCTGTTGTCATTCAACAGCTTCAATAGCGTAGTGAGATGTGTACCTGACTCTGAAGGTGAAGGTACCGGGTTTGATTCTCAACAGTGCCACATTTATTTTCTTTATGTGAAAGTATAAATTTGTTAAATTTTTCTAAGTTCTTTCCTCGGTAGAGGTACGGGAAGGAGAATATGAGCATAACAAATTCTGTTTTCAGTGTAATTTGCAACTCTCCATTCCTGAAAAATAATGGAGCTCTCAAACAAAAGAGAGACGTCACAGGTGGATTTTACTATAAGGACTATATAGATCTGGATCTATATAGATCGTTTTTTAAAACCGAATGTAGGGAAATATAATGAAAAATTGCAGAGCCTGGCTGCAAATTTTACCTGGTTAAAGTTCAAATAGTGTGTGTGTTGAAAAATTATACCAGACACTGACTAAGAGTGAAAGAGATAAGGGTTTGGAAACAATATCTTGTCAATTACACTGAATTATTTCTAATTATTTTAAATTTTAATCTGCATACACATTGTGTCCAGCTTGTTATAATGAGCCATGTGTGTCCAACTTGTTATAATGAGCCATGTTTTAAACCTCCAGGGGCCCGTTTTACAAATATAAAGAACTTACGACTAAGACCAAAATTTAATTCTGCTAATAACTTTCTAATTTACATTAAATAGAATTCAAAATGGTTGTAATATTTTTATAGGTATGTAGAAAGATACTTTTACGCTAGCAGTTGTAAACAGAATCATTAATTTTTGCAAAATTTTACAATCAACTAAAGTTTTCGGTCTTAGTCGTAAGTTCTTTTGTTGAATGGGCCCCTGATTTTTTAATTTCTTCTTTTCACAATAAATTTCTGATATGATTAAAACTGATCTTCACTAAATATACAATTTTTTTCATTTAAAAACACAATGTCATATATCTTTACTAAATCTGTAACCCCCCCCCCCCCCCAACCAGGTCAAAACAAGTTTATGAACAAGAGGACATCCACTGTCAAGGGTTGGCTTGCTTTATTTCACAATATACAATACCAAATTAATTGAATAAATGTAGAAATAATTCCTATATAAGTTTTTTTTTTAAGTGGATACAATATTTTAAAACAATGTTCGTGATTAAAAACAGATCAAATTGATGCTCTTTAATGTGGAGTGTATAGCATATACATTTGTTATGAGACATAAGAATGCAATTTCTTTCATTGTGAAAAGTGGCGAAAAGTGTTTTTCCTCCAGTGGGAGCACTCCCCCCCCCCCCCCCCCCCCCCCTTTTAGATCTGCACATGTTCTTTTTTTCCTTAAGAGAGGGACACAAATTCTCTGAATTAACTTGTATTGATGTATACTACTTACATTAATCTTAATATATAATTATGATGATAATTATGATAAAATCAAAATAAATAAATCAAGAAGCTTACAATAAAAGACAAGTCGAAATTCAAAATAGAATATACAAATGTGCGAATCCAAATGTGTTCCATTTTCCCAGAAATGACTCCCTCCTTTGTAACAGTTGCAATCTGGAGAGAAAAATCCAAATTATTAATTTTCCCAAAAACGTGTAAAGTTTTTATTGCTGCATTTAAGAGATAAATGATTTCTTTCACTGATTCAACTGTCTGAACAACAATGCAGTTCTTAACATTCATGTTTTGACCAGTCATTCGCTGGGAATATGAAATCTGTTAAATAGTTTCAAAGTGTTTGAAAATACTAGACATATATTCTAACTGGATCAGTGACCAGGCTCTGGGGCCATAAAACTTAGATGAGCTCACTTTTGATCTCAGTCTCACTTTTCCCTTATACATTCCTTCAGTAAAAGTGAGACTGAGATCAAAAGTGAGCTCGTCTAAGTTTTATGGCCCCGGAGACTGGACAAAGCTTTACAATTGCTGTCTTCTGTGCAATATTTATTTTTCATATATACACGCTACAAATACATGTACCAAAAAAAAAGATGTAACCTACATTCCTTCTGTCTCCAAAAATGTGTATGTCATTCTTGTAAACTTTTTATTGAAAATGAAAATCATTTTGTACTTTATTGTCCTAGTTATGATCAGTATAGTATACAATATTATACATTTATTGACTGGGTTCGAGGGCAACATGCGTTTTGTTGGACCCAAGAACCAAACTGTTTGCCTGAGGCTGTTAGGCCGAAGGCAAACAGTTTGCTTCGAGGGGTCGACGAAACGCATTTGCCCTTGAACCCAGTCAATAAATGTTTTGTTATACCTTTTATTTATTTATTTATTTATTTTTGTAATTATACATTTTTCTTTTGCTGCTAGCTTCCATACTAACGAATGCAAATAAGATTTAGATAATCCCGCCCACAGTGTGACGTAAGCGGTCCAATATCTCGTCCACAGGTCCAATATCTCACTCTGCAATCAAACATCGATTTGTTTGTGACCACTCAGTAAAACATTAGGAATGTTAGACTTTTTAAAGTATATAATTATTTATATAGGAACTAATTTTTAAAGGTATAACAATATGTGATATATTTAATGCTCAATGTTACATGAAGGAAAACCCTATTATTGACATTATCAACCCTCCAAGTATTAAAATTGCTAGAAGAGTATGTAACTTTCTGAAAAAGTGCTTTGATATTAGAGAAAAGAAAAACTTCAACATAACTAATATGCTTACTGGAATAATTTTTGTTGTTGATTTTATATATGTTATTCTTTGTTGTATTCATGACTTTATACCAATTAATGTATGATGGTGTTGTCAAATAAATGAATTGATTGATTAAAACAAGTTGATAGAAGGCTTCATAAAACAAATTTTGTAAATATGAGCATAGATATGAAAGAATATACATCATTTTTAATATTTATTTTTATTCATATATAAAAAAAGTCAAAAACAATTTTCCAAAGGAAACTCAAAATTACTCTTCATTTTCACTTGCACTGAAACTTGTAATAGCCCAAATTTGCATTGCAACTCACTCAGCTGACTGGTAGTAACGTCAGTCAGTAAAATAAACATAGCTTATTTAATGTACAAATTTATGTCGACATCAGAAAATCCAGAGGTCCAGACCTGTTTGAGATTGATCTGTCAGAAAACAAGATTTTGGGGTCGTAAGATAAAACTGAAAGGTCAAACAGGATCAGCATATACCTTTCATATATATTTTCATATTGAGAGAAAAATGATGATTTTTCTAATGATTCTCAAAGATATATGTATTCATTCTAAATAAACACTATTATGTATAATAACTCTCGGAAAAAAATTGACTAACTTTACTGAAAGTTAAGCGTAATTTTACCGTAACATCTTATAATTGATAATATTCCTTTTTAGATGCCCCCAAGGCTTTATCACAACATTCAATGGCTCTAGCATCAAGGACAGGGAGTGTGAACCTGATCTCAAAGCTGTTTCAAACACCACTGTGAAATCCAATACCTCAGACCCCAGGAACACAAGTGAAAGCGGTGATTATTTAAGGAGTAAAAAAATCTTATATACATAATAAGAAATTTCAACCAGGAAATAAAATTGTCATGTACTGTAAATCACTTTTTATTTGTAAGAATTTTATTTATTTATCTATTTTTTTTTTTTTTTTTGCAAATATGCAAAGCCTTCTTCTCTAAAGATATTCATTCTAACAACTATTTCTATTATTAAAGATGATATAGAACAATTTGCAAAATTTGTGAAAATTATTTCTCTTTTATAAATATCAAATGACTATCTTGCAAAAATAAGGTGTCATGAATATTTAATGATCTACAATTATCAACCTAATCTTGGATATACATAAAAATTGCTGACTACTACATTCTGTATGTACAGGTCAATTATCAGTGTGGATGTTAATTAGGCCTTATTTGAATTGTTTTGACAAATCAAAGTTTGAAGTCATTCAATTGGCTTCCGATATGACGATCAACATGGCAGGAACAATACCAGTAAAAAGAAAAAAAATCTTTATATGTACATACATGTATCAAGGAAAATTTAATTGGATGAAATAAAGTGATTGAAGGTAGTATGAGATAACTGTAATTTATATGTAACTTTAGGTCTGGAGATAAAACTTATCTTCAAGCTAAGATTTGACATATTACTTTCAAAATTAGCTCGAACTCCCCTTGTTCTTCCATTTAACTTGCTTAGGATGCTGGATCTGACCTACATTTTCCAGATTAGTGACCAGGTTAAAGTATTTTGAGCAGATTTTTGCCAAGAAACTATAAGGCCCATCTGAACCAAACTTTCATGGATGATGCATCAAGGGACGGACACTTTCAAACTTGCTACGGATGCTGGATTCGACCTACATTTTCTGGATGAGTGACTAGTTTAAAGTTTTTATATATGTCCATTCCCAAGTAACTGCAAGCCCTATCAGACCAAAATTGCATAAATGTTGCATCTAGGGATGCACACTACTAGATTATTAGTTTAGTGTGGGACTTTGCCAAACTTAAAGACAACATTCGTTGAGGTAAGCTCTGTAAACTCTGATTACGTATGTTTAGCTTCTTCTTAAACCGCTGAACCAATTTTAGCATATAGCATCTAAGAGTTAAAGGGAACAAAATTTTTAAATTTTGTGGTCCCTGTCCCCCTGGGGCCTGAGGGATGGTGCAAAAACCATCAAAATAAATGCAATCTTTAAAAATCTTCTTTACTCCTGGACATACAGTTGAACTATTGCCATTAAGCATTGAGCACTCTACCAATATTTAGAAATTCATGGCCCCTGGGTCAGGGATTTTGGTGTAAGGATGGGGCTCTTATGATCTTATAGTGAAAATGCATAAGAGAATTATACAAGAATTTTTATGATTTATAATACAAAATGTTACAGAAAAAAACAATAGAAACTTATAAGTGTTTTATAATCCACTTATAAGCAACTTATAAGTCACCTATAAGTTTTGAAATTTACTTATAAGTGTACTATAAGTCAAAGTAAGTATAAGTGAGGAACAAATTTTGTTAATACTTCACTTATAAGTGAAGATTAGCCACATATCAGTGAATATTTCACTTATACTTCACTTATAAGTGAAGATCAGTATGGTATTATCCAGAATAAGTGTGGACTTAGAATTTTTACATTATACTAGACTTCCCTTGAGTTGGATTGTGTGTATTCAAAGCTAACCAATCAGAAACCTTGTCTACAACAGGAATTTGAAACTAAGTTAGTGTCTGTGAAAGGATGTTGTTGGAGATTTCAAATTTATTTTGAGTTTGCCTTCTTATCAGGTACAACAAGTAGGTTCTATTCACATCATCTTTTTATTTTAACTTCCTTTGCCTCAAATTTTGAATCAATTGACTCAGTTGCTTTCAGATTTCATAAAATGAAGAAGCCTCAAGGTCATTTTAAAAATCTTATTGACTTTTTTCCCAACATTTTTGTTTATGAAGTGAAATAATATGTAAAGGTTGCATCATCAAAGAATGTCATAGCAGAGGGATTTCTTTTTCATAAAATGTTAACTTGATTATTTCATCTAAAGTACAGATGCATATGTATATGTAAAAAAAAACTGAACATCATCCAACCCCTGCATGATTGGAAGTTCTGTTCTAAATTAAGATCATAAAGGCAGTGCTGTACTTCACTTGTAAGTGATTTATATATGACTCATACTTGATAAAGTATGAAGGGCTAATACTTGACTTATAAGTCACTTATAAGTGACTATACTTGCATAAATCAAAAGTTGCTAATACTTGGCTTATAAGTCACTTATAAGTCAAGCACCTCATTTGCATATAAAATCCTAATGAGTCACTTATCAGTCACTTGTAAGTTAAATGTATCAGTTAAGTATAAATCCAGAATAAACAACTTATAAGTAAATGAATAAATCACTTATAAGTCACTTATCAGAAATTTCTGTAAGGGAGCTTTCATTGCTTTTAATGGTCACATAGACTTGTAAATAATAGATAAATAAAAATGAGACAAAAATACCTTATCTTTGTATGTATTAAAAGTTCTTCAATGACCAAGAGAAGCCATTGTGAGAGGGAATGAGAATGGTTCAATAACAGTTTAGTTTGCATGGTGATGGTGACAAATGAGTGCAAGTACAGGCAAATAGATAGATCTACTTTAAGTTTTATTACTGAGTACTAGACCAATTATTTTCTTGATCCCTGATCATCCTCTTACTCTTGGGAAACATAGCTTCATCTAGCAGTTTATTTTGTTTTAGTTGTACTTCTATGGATCCTTTTCAATGTTTTATACTCGGGTGACCATTAAGGCCCATGAGCCTCTTGTTTTGTTTTATCAAGTGTTAACATAGACCAGCTTATACTGACAACCTCAAATGCCCCAGTAGACAGTTTTTGATGCATTTCATGAGGCTACATTCTGTATATAATTATGTGTATGATTGTCAATTGGTCAAATATTTTATACATGGTATGTGGAACTGTAACATTTAAGCAGAGAATAGTTTTAAATATGTTTTTATAAATATATTTTGTCAGTATCATTAAATTTTTACTTCTAGATTCAAGTTCCTTGGAGACCATAACAATAATTGTAATAATGTAAGTAGATTAATTTAGGTCTTTCTGTTTTTTTATTGTGTGATGCATATTTTAAAGTTTTCTGCAATGAATATGGATTATGACATTTTTTGTATGAGTCACATATATCACAAAAATACTATGTGACATCACACTACACATATATTTTCCTGATGTTTTAAATGATATCAGAAACACTTTAAACTTTACATTTTGTCAAACAATATTCAAAACTTTTCAAATGCTCTTCAAATTTTATTTTAGATCACCTGAGTCACTCAGGTGGTATATTGCTAGATGTTTTTGTCTGTCATTGCCTGTGGTGCATAAACTTGTCATATTTTGATTCCTCCTTCAGAATCAATGGTCTATTTTTAACCATGCAGTCTTGTAGTAAAGATTCCTTGGATGGCAGGGATTCACTTTTTAGGTCACCTGAGTCACTCAGGTGACCTATTGCTATCTGTTTTCGTCCGTTTTCGTGCGGGTGTGCATCGTGAGTAAACTTTTCACATTTGCAATTTCTTCTCAGGAACCACTGGGCCAATTTCCACCAAACTTGCCACAAAGTACCCTTGGGTAAAGATGATTCAATGAAGGGACAATGCCTTCTTCCAAGGGGAGATAATTAAGAATTAGTGAAAAATTAATGGTATCTTTTAAAAATCTTCTTCTCAAGAACCACTGGATCAGGTAAGATGAAACTGATATGGAAACATCCTCAGGTAGTGTAGACTCAAGTTTGTTAAAATCATAACTCCCAGGGGTAAGGTGGGGCCACAATGGAGGATCAAAATTTTACAAAGAAATACATAGAAAAAAATAAAAATCTTCTTATCCAGAACCACTGGGCCAAGAAAGATGAAACTTATGTGGAAGCATCCTCAGGTAGTGTAGATTCAAGTTTGTTAAAACCATGACCCCCGGGAGTAGGGTGGGGCCACAATGGAGGATCAAAGTTTTACATAGAAATATATAGGAAAAATCTTTAAAAATCTTCTTCTCAAGAACAGCAAAGCCATGATGAGTCATATTTATATGGTAGCATCCTGATGTAGTGTAGATTCAAGTTTGTTCAAATCATGACCCCTGGGAGTAGGATGGGGCCACAATGGACGATCATAGTTTAGTGCTATTCCACTGGTTATTGGTATTCCACTGCATCAATATTTTTTACCTTGACCTTTCCTTTGACCTTGATTTCAAATGTATGTTTAGCTAAATTTCAAAGAAACAATTCAAGACATTTTTACCAAACTTCATATGCTTATACATATTTAGAACTTGGATTTTCCTAAATTAGGAGAGCTATTCAACTTCATCAACATTTTTTGATCTTGACCTTCCAAATTTGTGTTCAGTTTCAAAGAAACAATTCAAAGTATTTGTTATGTAATGTTAAGCTTTTGCACTGAATATATTATCTGGTGAGAAGTTACCAACTGTGTTCAATTTTTCTAATGCCCCCGTAATCGAAGATTCAGGGGTATATAGTTTTTGTCCTGTCTGTCTGTTTATCTGTTTGTCTATTTGTTGGCAAAAACTCTAACATTGTTGCTCATAACTTTTGATTGGTTGGAGTTATGGCTCTCATATGTCACATGTGTATTCCTTGTGACAAGGCCTTTGTTTGAGTACTAACATATTTGACCTCTTGACCTTGGAATTTGACTCAATTTTGCAAGAATTTACCCAACTTCAACCTTGACCATAACTTATGAACAGTTGGAGCTAGGTCCTTCATATTTCACATGTGTATTCATTCTGACAAGTGTATTCTATGGATATAAATATTTTTGACCTTTTGACCTTGACCTTTGAGTTTGACTCCCTTTTTAAAAAGTTAACCTTGGACTTATCTTTTAAACAGTTAGTACAACAGCCTTCATATTTGTCAGGTATATTCCATTTGTCCAGACCTTTCTTTGGATACCAACAATTTTGACCTTGACCTTTGAGTTTGACCTACTTTTGAAAAACTTTAACCTTTGGCCATAACTTTTGAACAGTTGATGCTATGGTTTTAATTTTTTACATGTTTATTTGTTATGACAAGGTCCTCCCCTGAGTACCTTTAATTTGACACTTTGACCTTGACCTTGGATTTTGACACACGATTTAAAAAAATTTACCTTGGCCATAACATTTTAATGGTTAGTGCTTGTGCTTTCGTATTTCACAAGTTTATTCAGTGAGACAAGCCCTTTCTTTGGGGAAAAACATGTTTAATCCCTTGACTTTGGAGTTTGACTTGCATTTGAGAAACTTCAACCTTCGCTAAGAGCTGTCATAAGGGGACATCAGTGTTTCATAAACACATCTTCTTAACTTTGACCTTTTCAATGACCTTTGATGTTACTATTTATTTTGTATAAAACTCAGTTTTTAAAAAAACTGTTCAAGATATTTTAATCAAACTTCATATATTAATACAAATTTTCATGTTGCATTACTAAAGAACCCTGGGTGGCGCATTCATGTCCTATGGACAAATTTTTAGTTCTGGAAAAGTGAGTATGAGCACATATTGCAGGGTGCACATTTGTCAGTTCATCTCCTTTCCTTGTAACATTATTTTGTTCAATATGCAACTACAGTTTTCTTAAACATGCACTGACTATGTTATAAGATGACAAAAAAAGCCTGACCCTGATTATCTATTGATATTCAAGAAATCTTTGGTCCCATGCCTTCAGTATTTTTTAGCTCACAGCTCACTGAGCTGAAAGCTCTAGTAGCTTTTCTGATCACCTGTTGTCTGTCCCTCTGTCTGTCTGTCCGTCCGTCTTTAAACTTTTCACATTTTTTTCTTCTTCTTAATGACCACTGGGCCAATTTTAACCAAAGTTGGTACAAAGCATCCCTAGGTAAAGGGGATTCTAAATTGTTGAAATGAAGGGTCAATCCTCCTTCCAAGGGGAGATAATTGAGAAAAGGCAAAAACTGGTGGGGTCATTAAAAAATCTTCTCAAGAACCACTAAGCCAGAAATGCTGAAACTTATGTGGAAGCTTCCTGAAGTAGTGAGAAATAAAATTGTTCATATCATGAACCCTGATAGAGATAAAGAGGGGCCACAATAGGGAATTCAAGTTTTACATTGAAATATGTAGAAAAAAAATTTAAAAATATTTTTTCTCAAAAACCACTGGACCAGAAAAGTTGAAACTTATGTGGAATCTTCCTGTGGTAGTGTAAATTCTAAATTGTTCATATCATGGCCCCCTGGGGTTGGGTTGGGTCATAATAGGCAATCAAAGTTTTACATTGAAATATGATAGATTGATTGTGTTGTTTAATGTCCTTTTAGAGAATTTTAACTTATATAGAGACATCACCATATGCCGGTCAAGGGCTTTAAATTAAGACTTATACTTGGCACTCAGGGCCATTGAGCAGTGAGGGGTATTTATTGTGCCAACGCCTTCTGTGACACAGGACCTCGATTTTTAAGGTCTCAACTGAAAGACCTGTGACTTTCACTTTTAGTGCTGTTCGCTTGGCGAAGAAACAGTCTCTACCTATGTTTACATCTTAGGTTTGATGTGGTGCAGCAAACAAGAATCCTGTAGATTCTAAGTTGTTCTTATCAGGCCTCTTGGGGTAGGATGGAGCCACAATAGAAAATCAAAAGTTTTACATTGAAATATATACATAGGAAAAAATCTTTACCAATCCTTTTCTAAAGAACCACTGGGCAAGAAAAGCTGAAACTTATGTGGAAGCTTTTTGAGGTAGTGTAGATTGTTAATTGTTCAGGTCATGGTCCCTGGGGCTAGGGTGGGGCCACAATAGGGATTACATAGGGGAAATATCTTTAAAACTCCTCTACTCAAAGAACAGCAAAGTTGTGATAAATCATATTAGAGTGGAAGCATCCTCTGGTAGTGTAGATTCATTTTTGTTCAAATCACAGCCCCAGTATATCAGGTGGGGCAATAAACGACAATCAAAATTTTTCATAGGAATACATGTGTATTTGGGAAAAAAGCTGATGCAGAACAGCAGGGCCAAAGTGACTCAGGTGAGCGTTGTGGCCCATGGACCTATTTTTATTTTTTCTTGAAAAGAGCATTTTATTGCCTGACGTCACGTGCGACAGGCAGTAAAAGTACCAAAATTTCCATGGTCCAAAACTAAGCGATCATACTTAATGAGCTGGATTGTGTGCAAGCTGATTTACATCAGAATTTGTTACCTGCATTTAAACAAACAAAGTTTGTAGAAGAAAGAATCATATTACTAATGCAAAATAATGATGTGTTTACTTCCGTCAGTTTTTTTGCATGCACTTGTTTATTCTTTGCGATTCTTTATACGGACATGTCCATGTAACATTTTTTCTGTGTTTTTAAACTACTGGATCAGTCTATTTGTCTTCTGTGAAAGGAGTGACACAATCATTTTGCGCCAAATGTTAAGTAAATTATCTTCGTGCCTTTTTCTTGGATTGTCCACAGGCATTTGATGTTTTAAACCTTTCTCTTTATTGATAAAAATATCCCCATACTATAGTAATAACTTGGAAGAGACCAGTCTATAAATAGAGGCCATCTCATCAATCTGTCACTGACCAGAGAGTGTGCATGAAGAAGCGCACCCTCTGGTAAGTTCTTTAGAATGACTCGTCTAACTATTTTCCCCAGAATTCCAATCAATGCAAGTGCACTTGCAGTTTCATCCCAATGTAACTAGTCAGCCCGTGGGCTAACTAATAAATGACCAAACAGTGGCATGTCTTACCTATTCGTTAATCTCTAATATTTGGTTACGGCATTTGAGAAAGTCAATTGTACATCTTGTGTAATGAAGTATCACGACTATGTCGCTCCTTGATGACGAGAACGTTTAGCACTTCTCCTGCTTATACGTTCCATAGATATTGACTGATTTAGTCAGGCAAGCTTTTTCAAAAGCTATTACTTGTATTCATATAAGTATCAAGTATTCATATAAGTATCAAGAATGCAGTTAAGATATCTTTGGTTTATATTATGAAAAGAAAAAATTTTTTTTATAAAA